AAAACATACTAAAACATACTACTACTACTAATAATAATTACAACAATTACAACAACAATATGAGAAATACAACATATTTATTTGTTATTTTTCTAAGTGTCCTACTTCATTTTGGATTGCCTTTAGCAAATGTGTTAATATTAGATTATAAAGCCACCAGTGAATTGACGAGAGCTTGATTCACAATATTTGTGCTAATTATTCAAAGAAACCATGTTTATTTATATGCTGCTGATGAATTTAGTAATATATTTTCCCATCTTGTCCCCATTGCACACTGTACATGCACAAACACTTAAATAAATCATTTTTTACTGCCTTGTTCCTGCCTGCAGAATTACAGTTTTTACTATGTATCATGCCGCCTGCAAAGATGCACACTCTTGACTTAGCTTACAATTAGCTCCATTTAAGCTCCCAAAATGGGGCTCATCTCAAAACAGAGGGGGTAGCACTATCCCCAGCAGCAATAATAGAAATGGCTGAAGCAGCATGCAGTATCGAAGTGCAGCTGTCCCGTCTAATGAGATTTTAAAGTGCTCCCATAATGCCTCATAAATGGCCCCTACATGGGGAATTATATGCTGGAAACGGGGAATCTGATTGGTGTTCCAGGGGGCGGGGGCGTCTGTCGTCCCAGCGCTGTGTTATCGCGCAACAATGAGCCATGCAATAGAGCGTCACAGTTATTTGGGACAGTGGCCCTGCCAGGCACACCCTTTCACTACACATACAATCATGAATCAGTCCAGCACATGTATCATTTACTGCCACGGTGTCCTGTGAGACACACTCAATTCAAAAGGTCTTGTATACAGGCTGTAAGGGCCAGAATATAACAAAAATGATTACACTATGGTGTAACACATGTCTTTACATCATGCTTTACCATCTTATGCAATAATAATACTAATACTAATAATAATAATGATAATTATTGTTGATGTTATTATTGTAAACAATAGTAATTGTTATCATTTATAATTATTTAATTTAGTTTAATTATTATTGTTGTTGTTATTATATATTTTACATGTTTATTTATGTTTTGTTTATTTACTTTACAGAATAATTACATTATGTATGAGTAGTATCTTGCTTATTTTTATTATTCAGTATTATTGTAATGTCACTATAATATGATCACTATGTAACTGGTTTGTCACATATAAGCAAAAAAAATATTAAAATAAAATAAAATAAAATAAAAATGGTTGTCACGGTAAATCTTTACACGATACTCCACAGTACCACAAAACACAATAATGCTATTTCCATGTTATTGTGTCCAAAAACAAAACAAAACAAAAATAAATAAATAAAACAAAATGGCTGTCACCATGATTTTAACATACATCAATTTCAGCGTTGTAGTTTATGTCAAATTACCATGATATTACTATTTGATACTGAAACCATGTTTATGTGGGGTATATTCTATAAAACATAATACTATAGCACTTTTATACATACTAAATGTTTGCCATATTCATGTACCATAGTATTTGCACAGTACCCCATTTTACTTCATCAAAATACCATGCATTTTCCATGGTACAAATCCAGAAAAAAAGCATATTTACCATGATACTTTTATACATAGTACTGAACGGTTGCCATATTAATTTACCATGATATTTGCATGTTACTACCAAAACAAATATGTCCAAAAAAACAAATGTTGCATGTAACAAATGCATAATAAAAATTAGATTTAGCTTTTTGTATAAATTGTATTGTTAGTGTGCAATGCATTTACAGGTGCATAAATAACTAATACAACTTCAAATTGCACCAAATGGACACAAACATGAAAAGATGTTGAAAACTTCATCTTGGATTCACACATCATACCAACCGTGACCCGAAGAGATGAAAACACACCCCCAGTGTGTTTAAGTCTGTGTTTGTGTGTGAATTCCTCATTGTTCCAGGCCTGTACCACTCAAGACTCATACAGAACGAGGGAGAGAGACAAAACATGACTGTATGAGGACATTGGCCACTGTGTGGGTTGTGTCCGGGCTCAACACATCTTTTATATGAGATATGTAGCCTCTTTGTGTGCTGAGAGACCTTGTTTGCATTAGAATACTCAGTCTGGGGCTGGGCCGTCTCAGACGGTCACGTGCACACCTCGCTCTGAAACCCCAAAACATACAGCAAGCTCCATCATGCCGTCTCTCAATGAAAACAGAGTTAGGCTGGCTTCTCGGGTCACTTGATTCATCCGAATGTAAAATGAGGTATAAGTGCAGTCCCTCAAAGCCAGAGCTGCCCATCATCTCCACAGTCAGATGCCGTTATTGATGTTATGGGTCTCCAGCTGAGGAGCTGAGCGTCACCTGAGGCCTGGCTGTCTGAATCTGTCTCAATGTCTCACCAGAAACCGAAGCGGGACAACTCTGTAGGAGCTACATGTGTGTCGGGACATTTACAGTCATAGATCTGACTATCTGACAGATATTGTAGCTCTCCGCCAATAGCATGAGTCTGGGGGCGGGACTACCATATTTTTCGACCAATAGCAGATGGGGGAATATTTGGGAAACAGAAATCTTTGTTTGAATACAAATATCTTTGAAATTCGCACTAGTGCTATATTTTAATAATAACAAAAAAAACAACAACAACAACTAAGTTTTATTTTTAAAATATTATAATAATTTTAAAAAGTGCTTAAAAGCCAAAAGTAAAATAAATAAATAAAATAAACATAAACATAAAAGCAAAACAAAACAAAATCTATCATGTGTATCATTAAACTCAAAGGTGTCTTTCTGCCAATAGCATGAGTTTTGGGGCGGGACTCCTTTTTTGACCAATAGAAGATGGGGGAATATTTGGAAAACATGTTCCAAAAAGTTATCGCTAGTAGCATAAAAATAAGCTGTTTTTATTTACACTTTTTTGTTTGTCAGTCAAAACTTTTGTTTCTAAATGAATATTTGTTTCTTCCACCTACAGACTAACAAAAAACAAAACAAAACAAAACAAAAAACAGCCCATCCAAAACAAACACACAAAAATAAAGGTTTTTAGCAAATACAAAAATGAAAAATAAATATTATAATAATTTTGAGACTGAAAAAAACAAAATCTCCTCATGTAGTGTACTGTTTAAAAATGTACAAATTTTGTGTACATTTAAAACAAAACTATTTTATCACAAATGTATGGAGGTTTTTGGCTTATAGTCCTCATAAAAATAAAAGAACTTGTAAGTGGTTGTGGATAAAAGCATCTGCTAAATGCGTCAAATTTAAATATAAAGTCCTGCGCCCATATTTCATGCATTTTCTGCCAGTTACAGATATGCAGCAAGGCCAATAGCATGTTAACATGCATAACGAGTAACCACAGTGAACATTTGAACATCTCTGAATTCATTTGCTATATTTAGTGTGAGCTTGAAGTGCTCAATTAGAGGCGAAACCCGTCACAGAGCAACACACTAATTACAGAGTGTATAAGGGCAGTTTCACATATACAACCTATTCAACATACAGTAGAGAAAGGACGGAGGCCTGATTCTGATACTTCCACAAAAATACACAACAGTAAGTTGAAAGGGAAACATCCGTCACAAATGTTGCATGAAAGATGGTATGATAATTGCATGGCTGGGTGGAGTTACATGTGACAGCTGAATGCAAATGCTGCTGCAGATTCACTGATGATTTATTTAAAGGGAATTTCCCTCTTTGACCTGTACAGACGTGGTTCACCGTAAAAGCCGCTTGCGTTCACGTCAAGATGCCCTATATAACGTTACAAGCTTAGCTTTAGCAATTACACATTTATGGTTAAAAGGTCAAAATGGATGCAGATATAATTTGATCATTTTAAGGTTTATATTTCAGTGAAAGGTGCCATTCTGATACACTGTCATTTTATATTTTCAGACCTAACTATAAAAACAAAAAGAAAAACGAATTGTAACATTTTTTTTAAAATATGGTGGTTAAGCAAAAGACAACAACATCAAAAAGAAGATAGTGAGCTTTAAATTCTTCTTTCATGATTCACCCACAATTGGCCTCTGGATTTGGGCCTGCTATAATATAATTTTTAAAAATGTATTTATTAATTAATTAATTTATTCCAGTGTGTTAAGAGAAGACAATTATTTCTCTCTCCCGAATCACTGCAGGGCTTCCCATTTTCTTTTACTGATTTAAAGGGGAAAATGAAAAATAGTTTTTTGGATTCCTCAGTCAACAAACCATAATTTCAGTCAATAAAGCTGCTTCTGACATATTTTTTTCTCCTGACACTTGCTATATATACAAGATGCTATATTTGAGATTTTGTTTTAGAATTTAAAATGTTTTTGTTTTACATTTTTTACAGTTCCATTCACACACACACACACACACACATATAAAAAATTGTATACAATATTTTCATACAAATATAAAACGAAATACACTTGCATTTTTGCATTTACAACTATATGTAAAACTGTAGCTATAGTATTACATATCTATAGTGACAATAACTGACATATTTTCCTTATACAAGTCTACCATCACACATTACCAAAACCACATATTTTTTATTCAAAATGTATAGCTATTATTCATACCAAAAAAAGCACACTGGCTCGATGACTGGATGTCTGTGTGTTCGCTTTTTTGTTAGCAGACGCCCTCCTGTGGCTAATGCTTGTATTACAAATGCTTGTTACATTTACGCATATTCTGCTGTTTTTACATTATTTGAATTTTCTAGGCCAGGTTCTTGCACCTGACGAGGACACAAACGGATTAAGAAGGGTCTGATCTGGGTCAGCACGAGTGACACGCTTTTGCTCGTGTTCATTTCACCTGTTTTAAGCTTATAGTGAGGTAAAACACAACAGCTGTATTGTTCAAGCTACCCTTTATTCTTTTTTGTTAAGTTACACCTGCTTAAAATGAAATACGTATTAAGCGAATAGGGAAAAAATGAAAGAGTTTGATGACAGCCCTGTAGTGCAAAGTCATCTTTGCCTTTTTTTTGTTGTTGTTCTCGAACTTTTATGCTTTTATGCACTCGCTTCCATCAAACATTTCAGACACTATAATTTAAAAGCAATAAGACTGTTCTTTCATACAGTTTCCAAACTAAAAATATTATAAAAAACAGAAATATCGTTTGTAAGGTCTTATTTTACAATACATTCAAAACGCAATTTGATAGCCTAAAAATCTAATCATAAAGCAAAACCTTTACACATGTGAATAAACATTATCAATATGCACAGATTTCACACAAACAGCATCATTATACAGAAATTCAAAAACCAAAACCTGAGGCGGAAACGTAAGTTTTAATGGATCAGTCCGATGCTAACCCGAATTCTCCACAAAAAAAACAAACGCTGCTCTAACATCCAATGTACAGTAAAACTCAAATGTAAAACAAGTAATCAAAAGCACTTTTTCAAAATCTTTCCTTGACACTTGGTGTCAAATTAGCGAAAACATTTTAGCCCCAAAAATGCTTAAACCTCTACAGTGGCGGCAGGGCCATTGGGCGTGCCCTCGGTTGTGGTTTTCTCTCCGTCTCCCTCTGCTGGTGGCGCCTCAGCAGTGCTGCTCTCCTTGGCCTCCTGCTCACTGCTCTCTGCGGCTGTGCTCTTTTCCGCCTCCTTCTGGTCAGCACCGGAAGTGCTGTTGGGCTCGGTGAGGAGCGCCGTCGTTTCGCTGATGACCTGCGCGTTGTCCTTTGCAGGGGTCGTCTTTACGGCGCCGTTCTGAACCGGGAAAGCGGCCTCTAGAGCCGAGTAGAGGAACTGATACTGCTCCTGTGGGGAGTTTAGAAGTACTTTAGCATTTTAATGTGCAACACAAAGCGTAATATAATTTGTTCATTGATTGATTGATGAACTTTTATGTGATATACATTTACAAACGACAGTGAATTGTTAAAACTACCTTAAAGCCACTTTTACGCACAAAGCTTCACATTTAACAGGTTAGGCTAGCAAAGGTATACAGTTTGAATTAGTCCAGGTTATAATATGAATGATGTGAATCATGGAAAAGGATAACCAAGGGTCATAAAATACCCTGCAATAACAATGGATACTGGATACTGGATAATGGATAATGTACTGTTAATAACATACTGATTTTTCAACCCAAAAACTAAAAAAAAAAAAAAAAAAACAGTTTTGAAAGTTGTGGG